CTGGGGCGGTGTCGGTGATGGTGGCCGTTCGACCACTGCCTATGCTTTGTATCTTGGTCCTAACATTATCTCTTGGAAATCCATCCGACAAAAGACTGTATCACGGTCTTCTACAGAGGCTGAATACCGATCTCTTGCCAATGCTGTTGCTGAGTTACAATGGGTACAAAATCTTCTCCAAGAATTGCATATATCGGTTCCAGCACCACCAATGCTTTACTGTGATAATGTTAGTGCTCTTCATGTGTGCAAAAATCCAGTGTTCCATACACGGATGAAACATCTTGCGTTGGATTATTTCTTTGTTCGGGAATTAGTTGCGGCTGGTAAGCTTCGGGTTGCCCATGTCCGTTCATCTGACCAGCTCGCAGATATTCTTACCAAGCCTCTTGCTCGCCCACTTTTTCTAAAGTTCCGGTCCAAGATTGGTGTTTCTGACGGATCCCCAATCTTGCGGGGGCGTATTATAGATAAATAAATATAAATATTCATTTATATTTATTCTTGATTATCCTTGATTTGCTTTCCTTATCTCACGTGTATTTATTGTATACCATGTATAGCTCCTAGACTTTAGGCTATGATTTGGGATCTAAACTTAGTCCCTCTTAGTTGTTACTATTTATATACGTTATGATGAATGAAGAAGCATTGTATTCTGACTTCATAACATGTTCCTTTTGTCTGAAAAGGTTGACCTTGTGTTGGATGAAATATTGCGTCTTCAAGAAGATGGACCTTCCGACGAAGATGTTTCCACTGTGCTAGAAATTGGGCAGAGGGCACATGAAAATGGATTGCAGGTATGCCCACAACAAGCTTTTTGACTTAATCTTTCTGCAGGGCACATATTTGTGAAGGCTTAATAACTTAATTAGACTAAATAGCACACTTAACCGTTGTAATATTTGAAGATGCTCTCAGTTAACTAGTACTCCCTACAACAGACCATGCACAAGTGGGGGTGTGGGGAGGGTAGGTGTACGTAGACCTTGCACCTCCTAAACTCCCTTAATGTTTTCTATAGAGATCACTTTGATATAATGCTGATGTGTTATACTACAGGAGAATTCTTATTGGCTGAAGAGTATACTGCGCAGCTACCAATCACGGCTCTATTCTGGGGACGTTGGTAGTTGTTTTGAGGTCCGTTCCTTTGCTCCGTAACGTTTTTCCCTTTTTTTATCCCATCTCTAAAATCTTCAACTCTGAGCAGGTGTAGTCAATTCATGTGGTATAGTTGCAATTAAAAAAAGAACTTTTTTTAAGGGGCAATGCCATCTTTACACTTTGGGAACTGCAGAACTGGTCTCCTGATGTGGATTTTTTTTAGTTTCCCTAAAACCCTACCTATATTCCTATAAACAGTGTTATAATAGCACACCAGATTTAAATACTCCACTTCGAAGTATGTCCATTAAAAAAATCTTACGTGAAAAAACAATAATACATTATATGCAAGAGAAAGATTTAGTATATCTTGTACACATGACCTTGCAGTCCAGTGGCATTGACTTGTGGGTGTGGGTAGTATGTAAAAGAATGAGTTCTGGTTTTACCTCTTCCACAGGAGGAGGTGAATATTGTGTGTTTTTTACGGTACGCAACTTAAAAGCAGCAAAAAGAATGCCATATGAGTGAGCAGTCATAAATTCTGGTAATGCAGGTGCTAGGCAAGGTCGTTTCCGAAGCTAGAAAAAAGTTGACTCCATTGACAGCCCGATTGGCATTGCAAAGATTTCTTCCATTTCCGTGCAAGAAACACTACGCTTTAGTGATCTTGATGCCACAAACTTCTAGTCTGAAAGGATTTGCTCCGAAACGATATTGTACAGATGCAAAGGTGCTCACCGTGCCTTTTTTTATGTTTCATTTTTTTAATTTCTACTCTGGAGTGCGATTTATTTTGATCATCTTTTATGGAGCCAAAGATTCACAAATATGCATATCACATCGGCTCTTGTTCGCGTGTTTTAGGTTTTGAAGGGGACGGATGCTGCTGAACAATGCGGAGACGACTCCAAAACAGAATCCACACAGAAGGGTCTCTAGTTTAGAATCTAGATAGGGGGCACTCATTGGCTTTTCAATTTTTCTTAGAGCTTTAGTTCATCATGTACAGTGTTTGGTAGCAGATTCTTTTCCCTTTGGTGGGAATGCTAAATGGCTTAAGTAAAGTATTATAAATAATAATAATAATAATAATAATAATAATAATAATAATAATAATAATAATAATAATAATAATAATAATAATAACCACAACAACAGTAACAACTAAGGGTACATAAGAAACTACTCCTACCATAAATTAAGACACATTTCACCTATAAGGCTATAATGCTCGAGAGACAAATCGTTGGAGGTATTTGTGTTAAGAGTGCATTTATAATTTGAATGCACTTTGATACAAGATTAATTTATTCGAATACTCATATTGAATAAAGGGGAATTAACTTAAATAGTAATAAAACATTATGAATATCCCTAGATAGCATCATATGTATTTTCTCCCCAAAATAACATTTTTAGTTATTATTCATTAGTCAATATTCAAGGGACATTATTCCTCCTTCTGGACATTATCAAGTGCTATTTAAGGAATAAAATAATTTAAGTACTGTACTATTTAGAGATATGACTTAAGTTTTAGTGTTATTTAGTGCAAATATTTCTTTGGGGGAATGCTAGTACAAAACCCAATATCATCTAAGGTCTTAGTGGGTTTCATATACACCTGCTGGCAATCTGATCAATCGGTTAGATCTTGGTTTGGATCTTTTTGGTTCGGGTCTCTTTCGGATATATATTATAATCGACTCGAGTCAGTTTGGGTCGAGTCGTTCGGTTTTGGGAAATCAATTTGATTTTTCGCTTCAGGTTTATATCGGTTCGGGTTTATAGTGATCCAAGTTTATACCGATTTGGGTTTATGCCAGTTCGGGTTTATACCAATTTCTGATGAGATCCCTTGGTATTAGAGTTCTTAATTTTAGCCTTATGTGTAGCCTCTCCTTCCTATTTGTAAAGGGAGTATATATACAAGTATTACGATGTCACTATAAATTTTATAAATTCTCTATAAAAATAGACAACCTTAGTTTAAGTGATAAAACACGAAGTAAAAGATTTGTAATTTAAATCGGTTATACTTATAATTTAAATAAATTTTTCTTAGAAAGAAATCAACCAATGAGCTATTAGGTTTGTCTGAATTTAAGTTTAATTTGTTTTGAACTTGATCAATATCATGTCTGAATGGTTTTTGGGTCTGATTTATTTCGGGTCTAATCAGTTCCGGTTTAATTGATACGGGTCGAACTAGTTCAGGTTGAATCACATTTGGACCTGAATCACGTCTGCATATATTCAATTCGGTTCGGTTCTGACATTTCGAGTGTTCGGGTATAATTTGATTCTTCATTTTTCGAGTCATTTCAAATTCAATTCGAGGTTATTCGGTTCGGGTTACCGGGTCCGAATCTAATTTGCAAGGTCTAATTTTATACGGAATATATGCTAAATAAACATTTTCAAGTATTGAAATAAGCATTTTTAAAATTAAAAAAATATGTGACAAGGTCCATATAAAACTTAAGTCCATCATAGAATCACTCGAATAAACTTATATTTGTCTTTGTTCAACATTCAAATCAAAATATGTACTCCATATTTGTATGTGAAATATTCAAATTTGAATCGTCATATTTAAATGCTCGGAGTATGATTCAAGAATCAAATTGATATTACTTCTTCCACTCTAGTCTACTCCCTCCGTCCCAAATTATAATGTCTGTTCACTATTCACAAGGTCAAACTTCATTCACTTTCTTTCTCTATTTTCGTTAGTAATTTAATAAAATAAAATATTGTTGTCACTACTAGTTTTGTAGATCTTTTAATGTAGTATTTTGATATGTAATTTTTATTTTTTTTAACTCTATACCGTTTGTCATATAAAATGATTTGAAAATAACTTTAGTCAAACATCGTAAACCGAAACAAGCGTTATAAAATGGGACGGAGGGAGTATTTATTGAATTGCTTTGACAATTTTTTAATCAAATTGGATGAATTTTAAATTTTAATTATTTTTTATTTGTATGCATATAAGTATAATATACGGAGTAATTAAATTTTGAAAGTTCTCAACAAGATAAATTTAATGAAATTAATATTTTACTACTCCCTTTGCCTAGTGAAAGAATGTTGAAAGTTCATATATTTTTGGGTTAAAAATTAAAGTTTATATGCCAAGTAAACTAACCTTGAAATTTCAAACCAAATGTCAAACCAAATCTCAAACAAATTACTACATACAAGTGATACAACTCTAATGCCATTGTTTGTGCACTATGAATCCTCTCTTAAATAGTGACAAGTTAGAACTCAAATATCCTTCACAAGATTAGCATAGTGTCGTTCAATTATTGGAGCCTAAAATTTCTAATTTTTAGCATTATCATTTCACCAATTAAAGTGAATATTTTTCCCGTCCCTTACAATTTAAATAGCCTCTTATCACATACTCCATATTAAAAATAACATGAAGAAGCATATAGTTCTTTTTTCTACACAAGTATTAATCAAATAACTACTATACAATTCTAATTGGTTCTATCCAATCTGATTAAATTCTAATGTAATCTAATTGTACTTATATTTAAAATTCTAATACGATTAAGTAATAAGTAAAAATAATAAATTGAAGAGAACAAACTCTTAATACGTATTTAAAACTTAAAAGTCGGTAGTATTCACGGAGGCAATAACAACAACATGAACTAAACTTTTCAGAACGGTTCACCAAAAGGGCATCATCAACCCCAGCAACAATTAAAACTCTATCAATGGAATTCTAAGCTCTCTTAACAATGAAATGGTAAAGCTAAGTTAGTTTTTAAGTACCGTTTCGGAAGAATTAATTCGGAGGCTAAGGGCAAGCAATGAGGCCCCAATCCATGGAAGAAGATGCAATTTGTAAAGCAAGCTGAGGTGCTCTCCCCATTCTCATATGTGGAGAATTGCTGAAACCTTTTCTGCAGTTGACCTGATCTGTTTCATCCTTTCATCAAGGAGTTTCTCCAGCTGCTCCTCCAGATTATCTTGTTTCTCCTCTTTCTCTATGCCGCCAACCTGAGACTTGAACATCACAAATGATGTGTCCTCATCATACTCTGTTGCAACATCAACGACTCGCTTTCCACCGACTTGGGAATCTCTCCCAATGAAATCACCTTTTACTCTGTCCGCAATCACGGCTCTATACACATCCATGTGTTTTGCAACAGTTGGATCCAAGTGGAGATAGATGAGAATTTCCCAGCACTGCATCAATTGTCTTTTGTTTATTTTCAGAGCTTTCCTGACATCCTCAACAACTTTAGCTGGCAGACGGAGCCTAAATACATCCCCAACGCTCCTTTTAGAAGCATTTCCTTCGTGCTTTAAACGCGAGACATCGGAGTCTAGTGCGCACTTAACTGGATCAAAGGCAAGTAAACGCTCAATATCAATGCATGTTCTAACATGTTGGAAAGAGTCGTCTGGTTCCTCAACAGTCAGGTCATAAACATTTTCGCGTGTTGCGACACTGTTGAGCACCTTGATAAGGTTGCAACCATAGCCCTTGTGCTGGTACTGGGGTAACACTAGTATCTGCCATAATCATTAAGAATGTGTCAAATGATAGTTAATGCTCAATTTGGTCTGGCCTTCAACTTTCTTTAGAACCCAGTTTGGTTTTTGACAGTTCAATTAAGATGCAATTTTAGTCCTAGGACATATTTTATTCGGTATATGAAGGGTGCGTTCATCCACTCACAAGCAAATTTGGTCCAAATTTAGTAGTCCAGAACAAAAATGAGTCCTAAATTAGTTTTCTAAGTAGTGTGAATCCAAGAAAACCCTTCTTATTTCGAACCACACGCATGGGAACTGAAATCTGGTCCCAAATTGGATAGTTGAAGACCAAAGTCTATAGTTGCGACTTGCGAGCCTAAATAAGGCATTAACTCTTGTCAAAATATATATGAGAATAATGGGAGTTTTTAAAAATCTTTTTTTTTTCTAATTTCTTATAGAGAAAATGGCCTTCGCAAAATTCACCTGCCCAAGCCTCAAGCGTGCACCATCAGGATAATGATGAAACCTGTAAACAGCAGCAAAACCGAGCAACTGAATATGATCATCCTCCTCGGGATTGGAGCTCTTGACAGAAAGATATATTTCCCATCTTGGATCATTAACATCAATAGGGTTGCTCCCTGTTTCACAAGCATGAAAGTTAGTAAACTGCATCTGGACTTTTCAATTGTCTCTCAATATATATCAATACTAACATAAGCAAGTGAATTTTACCCTCAACTAGGAGAAGCACAAGAGGCACCAGTCGACAGTAAAAAATCCCAAGAGGTTCTCCAACAATGCGGAATGCCTGAATCAGCAAATAAACCAAATATACAAAACTCAGAACTACACTTTATATCTTCAACAAGCTGATACATGCCACTTTGAGGTACGAATTTGGCTTTTGCTACTCATCCATAAAGGGCTTTTAGAAATGCAGTTGAGTCAGGCAACCAGAAAGATAGAGATGCATATGGGGATTTAACCTTTTAAATTAAAACTTCTACTTCAGTAAATAATAACCATTTACATTTCTTATTAGATAAAATGACAACAAATGGCACACCATTTATATTATGTATTACACAAACAAAAATGCCCTTTTAAAAAACAATAAGCAAATGCACCTTAGCATGTGAAACAGCTTGGTCTTCATTTGAAGTTTCATATTGCAACGATTCCGCATTTGAGACAAGAGATCTGCATATGTCCATAACTAAGAAAAGATGTAGAGTATGGACAAAGGTAAACACTAAAAAACTTGCAAATAAAGGATCATGTTAAAAAAGATCACAGTTGGTTGAAAAGGATTAAAACAAAAAATTTAGAAGAACAATCAAATCCAGTTTTCTCAAAATAGTTATTTAAAAGAATGTTCATGAAAACTTACTTTATGTAATGTCTTTCTGCTTTGAAGGTTTGAAGGAACACATCTTTTTCCTCAACAAGATTCTCACCAAAAATATTCTGCAAAAAGCATCACTATTAAAATCAACACATTGATCTGTGTTTTGTGAATACACAGGAGTAATCCCAGCAAGGTTATGTTTTAGTCCTGGTCTAGGGTAACTATTCCCCATTGGTCGGGGAATTGTGGTGTTGCATCAAGTTGTTAGGTAATGTTATGATTAGCATGTTTTACCTGAAGCGCAGGCTTCAGATCTGTGATCCCTCGGCCTCCCTGTAAAAAAACAGGGTCATAGTAAGAAATGAAATAGGAATATAGACAATGTAAGGGTGACTTGCAAATGTATTTACAAAAGAATGTATTTTAATTCTATTTCCAGCCAAAAAAACTTTCATGAAAAGATTAGGACTTTTAACATTTCATTTGGAAATCAAATCTCATTCAAAACAAATGGAATTCATGAAGAAATAAAATAAGGAATAAGACAATGTGAAGAAGGTTATAGTAAGAAATAAGACCATTCTTCATATCTTGCAAACGCTATGGAATATATATTATGAAAAACCCGACGGTATGAAGGACAATATGAGGGTGACTTGCCAATGTTTTTATAGTAAAACAATAAAGAATTGGACCATTTCAATTGGTACTCCAGTCCTATTCAAAAGAAATGGGTTTCTTTTGAACATCAAGATGCTAATACAATTTGAAAAGAACTACTTCTCTGGCTCCATTCTTGAACCATACACCATAATCATCTAAACTCAAGTATATTTAGTTCCATACAAAATAAGATAAGGAACACTTACATCATATGAACTCTCAAATGAAATATCCGCATATGCATGAAAAGATATTGTGTTAACCCAAATAGTAATCTGCACGATTCATTACAAGGATTCTATTAAAAACATGAAAAATTAGTGGCACAGTACAACATATTTATCACACATGGGAGTACATTTCATTTATTGCATTTCCAGTCTGCCACTAAAGTGCCATTCCCTACTTATAACTACACACTTTGAGTTCCTACACATGTAACTATCAGCTTTGAGAAATTGCTCCACATTTTAGACCGTAAGAGAATCTATTCATGAACAATTATCAATTGTCCATTGATATTAAAGACATTCTCTATGTTCACGGTAAATATGACGAAACGCAATGTGTCCAATCCAAATAAAATCTGTCCTCATTCCCAATAATAACATCACCATCACTCCAGAAAAAGAATTTGAGAAAAATTTATCTAAAAGAGATGTATGAGTGAGTGAGGATGGAAGGATGAAATCCAGCATACCTTCAAGCTCTGATAACCAAAAATTCTGCCATCATCATTAAAAAAAGTATTTAAATCAACTGTCTCAAGCTGGAAACTACTTGTAGAGCCAACCTCCTCTTGTTTGGATACTAAGAATATAAAAAATACAAACAAACAGGGAGAGAATGCCTGAGTGCATAATCACTTGAGTTTTCAATTAACTGCTCCATAACTGCAAAATTGTACCTAAGTATATAGAAATGCAATCACCAGCTTCAACCCCAGCATCTGCGCAGAAGAAATACAACAAAGACGCCAGACCGATGAGTGCGACAAAACGCAAGACGAGAATCGAATTGCAGAGGAATGACTGACTAACCGATTTTCGAGAATCCAACGCGGCGTCTCTTCTTGGGGTCAGACGAAGAAGACGATTGGTGCTTCGTCCCCATTTCTCGCGATTAGGGTTTTTGTCGTTGGAGCGGGAAAATATGGTCAGGGGCGCGGGAAACGTTGGGCAGATTGTCGGATGGATTTATATACAGACAGAGCCCAGAGCCAGCCAGCCACAGACGGGATCTATCTGAAATTGCCTGCCTTTAGGGATCGGGTCAACCCGTATTGAACGCAAATGCTCGATACTTCTGTTTTTATTGGGCTTGGCCCAAACGTATTTCTCGGGGTCTGCGCTGTGTATTTATTGGGCTTACCTTTTGCAACTGGGCGTTTGGTCTATGAGTATGTTTTTGCTTTAGGTGCGAGAAGTCTCAGAGTTCGAATCTCGGAACGCAACGCCAACTTTCTCTTCTTTTCTTCACAGTTGCTGAGTACCCCTTCATCTCATTTCTTCACCAATTTTGTGTTGGAGTCACCGGATTTTGTCATCAAAAGTTTCACCAAAAAATTTTAAAACCTCCGTTTAAGCTCGAGGTAAGCCCGTAGATATATCTAGGGACTAAAATATTTGTATAGATCGGTTTTACATTCATAAATTGTCGTTTGGTTGAGTTTTGTTTTTGACATGTTTGAAGAACCAAAAATTATAAAATTTGAAATTATTGTTAAAAACTACGAACTAATAATACTAAAATGATCTATGAATCTTGCAGAACATTTCTATATAATTTAATTGAAATTTGGTGACTAAAACTGATAACTCTACGAACTAATAATACTAAAATGATCTATGAATCTTGCAGAACATTTCTATATAGTTTAATTGAAATTTGGTGACTAAAACTGATAACTTCGAAAATAGATTCGAGGAAGAAGACGATGAATAGTGCACGGTAACATGCTACCGCCGGCACGGTAGCTAAGTACTATACCGTTCGAACGGTACTCAGCTACCACCAGAACGGTAGAGGCGCTATCATCGGCCATTCTTCTCTGGCGGTACCTAACGCTAAACAATATCTCGTTCCATTTGGGCGGTACCAAGAAACCGTGCGCCGGTACTGTGATGGGTATCGTCTGACCATAAAGATGTTAAATTCATTCACATTGTGTTCTTCTGTGCAATTTATGGTCTCTTGTGCCAAGTGAAAGAAAAGATTTGCTTGCCAAATAATATAAACAATACGGTCTACCTATTCGATATTCTATAAGTTCTTAGGAGTAGGTCAAATACTCCATTGAAACCCAGCATTCACCTTATTACTTTATTACGTTCTCTCTTCTGTATAAGAGAAATATCTTGCTAGGTGGAAGATCTTTCCCCACAAACTTTCTTTCACTACGTCAAATTGAATCTATAATTCACTCATCGCAATTGTGGCACACAAAAACCACACCTCTTTGCTTGTTCTCCATTGATCAATTTGTTGCAATTTGACGTGAGTACACCATGAAGTATATTCAGAGAATGTGAAACCTATGAGTTTTTACCAAAAAATCAAAAGTATTCCAAAATAAGCTTTTGAGTCATGGTAACATGCTTGTAAATTGTTCATATGTTTTAAGGTTAGAGCTTTTTACTTTCACACTAATTATGCATTCAATGGCAGTCTACATACCTACCTTTTAGTTGAACAATTTGTTTAGGGTAATCTTTTACAAAGTACACACGAGTAATACTATTTTAGTTGGTTTTTTTAATAAAAAATACTATTTGACATTATTTAAACTTTATTAAACAATAATTTTCATATTTACAAGTGTTTTAAAGTTTTTATTTTGTAAACCAATATTTTTCAATTATTTTACAACACACTTTACATATACATACATACATACATATATACATACATACATACGAACTGGTGTAAGCAACTGGTGTCATTTTAGACGCTCCTATATATATATATATATATATATATATATATATATATATATATATATATATATATATATATATATATATATATATATATATATATATATATATATATATATATATATATATATATATAGTGTGTGTGCGATAGAGGAACTGGAAGGGGCAACTAAAATAGTTTAATTTGGGTCAGGTTAAAAAGCAGGGAAAATCATTAAATGGTTGTGGATGTAATTAGATTCTTTCGATAATAGCTCTTCGAAGTATAGGGGTAATGTGGGAATTTCACATGGTGATTTTTTGTGTTTTTAAGTGAGAATAGATAGAGAGTAGACTCATAATATCAAAATTTTTTTTGGAGATTTTTTTAAGAAAAACTTTTTTTAGGACACTTTTATGAAGCAACCCTAAGTGCACAAAAAATGAGAGAGAAAGAGAGTACATTCCGTAGTTCGTACACATCATTTATTTTTTAGTCCATTAACAAACAAAGCGTAATACTCCCTCCCATATCTTTCTTCCCACTTTTCTTTTTGGGCTGTCCCATTTGATTCTTCCCGTTTCTTAAAATGGAATTAAAATATACCTAAAGTTACTCTTTTACCCTTTTTTAATTATTTCTCTCCCTCATTCCCCTATTCCTCTCGTGCCACTCACCCCGACCATCCTTCATCTCCATTCTTCTTTTACTCTGTATTCTTCTTCTGCATCTCCTCCCCTTTCTCTTCTTCGTTCTTCTTCTCATGCATCGGCCTCAGACCTCACCCCCCCCTCCTTTATTCGTTTACTTTGTGTTCTTCTTCTGCGTCTCATGGTCTTTGTTCTTCTTCTCTCTTCTTCTGCAGCATCTGCGTCTGACCTCCTCCCTCCCCCTTCCGATTCTTCTTTTTCTTCTTTTTGATTTTTAATTTCTTTCATTTCTTAGATTTGAAACACAAACTTCATTTTCAATACCTTCAATTCTCCAGATTTAAAACTAGATTTGATTTTTAATTTCCTCAGTTTCATAGATCTAAAACTTAAATTTTGATTTTTTTTATATTTTAAAAAAATTTGAAGATAAATAAGGGGTGAAGAAGAAGAATAAGGGATACGGTCTGAAAAAGGAAAAAGAATTAGAAAATCGAGAAGAGAAGTTGCCACTAGCAGTTGAAGTTCTTCTCTCATCGCAGTCATCTTCTTGGGTTAATGGGGTTGCTTTGGAAATAAATTCTGGACATGAAAGTTTGAACAAGGACTAGATTTGCTTAATGGAGTTGCTTTTGAGAATTATATCGGTTTCTTAGATCTGATTCTTTGTTTACTCTTTCACCATGAATTAGATATACTTCTTGGATCTGTGATTTTGATTTTTCGAACTTAATGAAATTCGACAGTGATATCATTTTGTTTTCTAAATTTAATTTTGAAGAAAAATTACTCTCTATATGTTTGGGGTGATAAAAAGCTGACAGGATTGAGGTTGAGGAAGCATATGGACGAAGGAGACGAAGGTAGTAGGTGGGAGGACAAAAAGGAAAGTCAACACTTTTTTCACTTTATATTAAAAACCGTGCCAAGTCAAAACGATAAGTTTCAACTGGAACGGAGGGATCTACTCCTTTCGTCACTAAAAAATGTTTCCCTTATTTTTTTATCTTCAAAAGATGTTTTTTATCTATTAAAAAATCATTTTGATTCTTTATTTTTTCATGTCCTACCTATCACAATATACTTTTTTAATTAGAGCAAAGGTAGTGGTGAGGCATTGCCTCCTACACCTCAGCCCATTTTCTCCTAATGCCTCGCATGACATCCTTTTTCCTCCATGGTTTGAGAGTCATGAGCAAGGCATCCCTTTCTCAATTTCTTTTTTTTAGATTTGTTTTTATTTCTTTTTTTGTACAATAGAGAGGAATTTTTTTATAAAAAGTACATCTATTTTTATAAAAAAAAGATAAATAAAAATAATTTTTATAGTTAAAATATATCAAAAAAGTATAAAAAGTGAGAAAACATTGACTTGCCACTGCATGGAATGTCACTCATCTCACATGCCACACGCTGATTGGACTATTTCTGATTAGTTGAAGAGTTCCATGTCATCGTGTGGTAATTTTTTTTGTCTCGCCATTGTACATGCTCTTATAATCTACATATTATATCTTAGTTAACATAAAATTATCCTCCCTTAAATCTTTAAAAAGTGAATAAAGAAAGATGTTTCAAAGGAAGTATATTTGTACCAAATGAATGATTTTTTGTTAGATTTGTTTCATTGAACATTTTTAAATTTTATTTTATTATGCTGATATGAAATACAAATTGAGAGACATAGAGAGTTGCACAATTCTTTTCGAAAAAATTAAATTGAAACTACTCTTATACGGAGTACAAAACTACTACTCCGTAATAAAATTGTACCGTACATTTACAGATTTAGGATAGGTACTCCGTATTTTATTATTTGAGATTCTTCTCTACACTTTCGAAAAACTATCTCATTCCTCAAATTCTTTCAAACTTTGTCAGATTAACATTCTAATATCTTCTATTTCATTTACTTCATTTCTATTCAATCAATTATCTATTACTCTCTTCGTTCCCAATTTGATTACAAATTGCGGGTTACAGAGTAAAATTTTCTACTTTTTGAAATTATTTTATTAATAAATTGGTATATCAATACAATATGAAAATTACAATTAAAAAACTACATCAAAAATTCTACAAAACAAGAGGTGACAATAATATTTTATTTTATCAAATACTTAATGAAATCGCATAAACAAACAAAAGTTATCGAGAGGAGAGAGAAAAAAATTGTAATCTATTTAGAGACGGATGGAATATACTCCGTATAACTTTATTATACATTGTCTCTTCTATCAAATTTATTTATAAATATAAATAGTCATTGAAAAATTAACAACATAGAATATTAAAGAGTATTTATTAAGATTATGGAAAATTACATCAACTTAACACACATAAAATTAATCAAGTACATTTCATTAAAATTATTTAAGTAAACACATATTAAATATAAATTGTATAAAATAAAAATAATAGTACAAAAACAAAAATTACATAAATAGACATAACTAAATGTAATATGGCATGACATTTCAAAGCCTCCCCCCTCTCCAATTTCTTGGCCCTTTCTTTCTCTCCAATTTCATTATGTGCTTTTTTTACCAAACATAAGAATTCCTTTAAAATATAAAATTGAATAATATAAAAAAAACATAAAATAAAAATAAAAGCATAAGAAAATAAAATTATACAAGTAGGCATAATTGATGATTTGGTTTTTTACTGTTGGGCAGGCTTCGTTTTTTCAATAATTGTAACAACTTAATTTTTTAGTTTTGAAAAATAATTATTATTAAATACACATGTCTAATTTTTATTCGATATATTGAATTGAGAGCCTTGGAAGTGAGTATGGAATTTCAAAGACTCCCTTTTAGACTTTTGTCGGCACCACAAGACTACATAATTCATGAAATACTAAAAGTTTATCAAAATATTTTTAAAGATGAATCAAACATACTTTTTAAAATGACCATCTTGGAAAAATGCTTCATTAAAAATGATCATTTTGAAGTTTCACTTTATGTTTAAATGATAAAAATTTCAAATATATCATCTACTTAATCAATATTTAAGTTACATCATACATTAGCAATTTAAACTCTACGAACAACAACCCAGTTAAATCGCACAATAAGATATGTGGAGAGAAGGGACGTAGACCTTACCCTTACTTGAATCCCACAAGTTAAATGATTCATAGTTTAAAAAGGAAAAACACAACAATGATTATTTGCTTGAGTCCAATGTTATTTATTTGTTGGGCATGTCCGGCATGTCTTCTACTATAAAGTCTATAGTACATTCATACATCTCCAATTTGAAACTTGCAAAAGGTTCTTGAAGACTCTTCATTGCTGCTCTGAAACTGCAAAACATCATGAAGTACAAAAAAAATGGTTCACTAAAAGTAAAAGGGGAAGAAATGAAATGTGCAAGAAACCATTACATAAGCATTTCAAATAATTCATAAAGCTTTTAATATATTAAGAACACATCTATGTGTACATCAACATACCTTTTTGAAAAAGACTCAAAAGGCAGGAGATAATGAAAGAGAACACATCTGTGCACAAAAAATGTCTTTTCACTTATCCAACTGCTTTAAAATACATACTAGTAGTCTACTAGTACTTAGAGCTCTTCGGTTTACAGTAATGAAAACAATAAATAAAAATAAAGGTTTGCTGAAAAGGAAACCAAAATAAAATATTGTTCAATTGGGCGGGGGGGGGGNATATCTTATATGATTGCTTTCGGCCTAATCACCAGTGCCTTTGTCATCATCATACCCTTTTAACCTTCCTCCATGATATTCAACAAACCACATCTCCGTCTCACAAAAAATAAAAGATTGTTGCACTAAAAAAGATTGTTGCTTATCAACACTAATCACTTCACCAGTCGCCCAAGGAACCCATCATCAACACTGTTGTTCAGGCTCGAATTCATTCATCTAAACAGACAGAATCGTGATAAACCATCACTCTTTTAGATTTTATTATCAACCATTTAATTTTTTTTAATTGCATCAAACAAATAATGAGGGAAACAAAGATGTTTGGGGCGATGCTTGAGTGATGTGTGATGTAGTGATGAGTGTTTGTAAATGTGAGGTAGTCCACAGACCCCTTGTAACCATTGTGGAAATGGGGAGTGAGGTTAGATTTTTCTTTCGGTCTTTCTTTCCGATTTTCCTCCAATCGATATTTCACATTTCATATTGTTCTTGTTCTTCCATGATAAAGAATAAAAGGCTAAGCAATCTTGTATGTGTGTTTTATAAATAAGAAATTTCAGGTCACCTAAGGCCAACTGCTTGAATTTAGATACTAGTCAAAGTCAATTTACTGATAACTATGCACCAACAACGCTTAAAACCTAAGTGCCGTGATTTAGGGTAGGGGATTAACAACAAAGTTTTTTGGTTCCAGGAAATAAAAAGAGAGATGGGACTTCCTGTGGTTGGCATAGTTGACAGGTTCGGTAAGGCATAAAATGTTAAAAATGATGCAAATGCAATGGAGGAAGTGAGACTTCCATGGAACATGGGAAGTGATTACCCCACCCTCCCCTTGAATATTACCTTACCATTCTCATGTCAATTCCTACAAAGTGCAAATGAAATTCAAAAACAACACATATTATCAATGCATTTAGTTTATCTACTTATCCTATTTCAAAATATCATTGAGTAGTCGGTACACCAGCAAGTGCCTACCCCTTGTTTGTCTACATTGTTTATTATTACGTTCACACTTCATTCGAACCTGATCTAAGTGTGTTATTAATTTTAATACGCCATCAACATGTTGGATCCCACGAGAGTAGGGTTTGGGGAGGGTGTGTGTACGCAAACCTTGTCCCTACTTGAAAGTAGAGAGGCTATTTCCAAGAGACCCTTGGCTCAAAAGCTGCATGGGTTTTAAGTTTTAATGTGTTTCACAATTTCAAAAACACAAAATTTAATGCCATTTGGATATTGGATTCGAGATTTTGTGCCAATTGAGTTTTGACAAAGTCGAGCTACACCCATAATTTACAAAGCCCCCGCCAAGGGAGATCTTGTGGAGGTGTCTTGAGTCTATAGGAGTTCTGATTGAATACACCTGCATGACCAAGGATATGTATGACGGGGTAAGGACAAGGGTAAAGACCATTGGGGGCGACTCCGAACCTTTTTTGTATGGGTGGGGTTGCACCAGGTCTGCCCTTAGCCTTTTTGTTAACCCTTTCTTGTTCGCTTTTGTGATGGACGTCCCAACACGAGGAGTCCAAGAAGTCATGCGGTGCATGCTTTTTGCAGATGATATTGTGCTTATCGACGACACACCCGAGGGACTAAACAATAATTTAGAACTTTGGTGCCTTTCCCAAGAGACAGAAGGAATTTAAAACTAGTGGAACCAAGACTGAATACATGGAATTCGTTTTAGTGGTCAGGAGACAATTTCAGAGTGGAAGTTAGGATTGACTCTCACCTAGTGCCCAAGGTTGACAAGTTTCGATATCTTAGCTCGGACACTTAAGCACATGGGGAGTTAGACGGGGATGTTGTGCATCGTGTTGGAGCAGGCTAAGTGGAGGTTGGTTTTAGGGGTGCTGTGCGATAAGAAGATTTCACCCAAGATAAAAGGTAAGTTCTAGTGGTCTTTAGTCATACCACCTATGCTCTATGGGACAAAGTGTTGGGTGGTTAAGAAGATTCAAGTGTGTCGTCTGCATGCGGCGGAGATGCCAATGTTGCAATAGATGTGTGGGCAAACGAGGCTGGAGAGGATTCCAAATGAGGTTATTCGAGGTTGGTTAGGCCTAGCGCCATGGAAGATAAGCTTTGGGAAGCTAGGTAAAGGTGGTTTGGTCATGTGAGATGGCAGAATGTTGACGCTCTAATGCAGAGATGTGAGAGGCGTACGTTGGTAGGAGATGGGGTAGACCTAGAAAGAGTTGGAAGGAGGTGATTATACAAGACTTAAGACTTCTTGTCCTTACTGCTTAGATAAGAGCATTTGGAGAGATAGGATTGCAGGTCCCTTGACCTAGGGGTGTTGTTGTGCGCTTTGTATGCCTTTTATGCTTGGTGCTATCTGCTTTGTTGTATATCCGGGAGCGCCAACAAAGGCTATCCTCTCCCCAAAAGAGGATAAACAAATCAGGAGAACAAAAACAAAGTGTGAAGCCTATTATTGGGTTGAATTCATTCCTTTTATTTGTTCAAATGTTTAATAACCCAAACCAAAACCCTTGTTGTCCTAAACCCCTCTTAGGCCGAACCAACCACCTCAAGGCCTACCCAAACATCCAAAACACTTTTGTCTTTTATCCCTTTTCAAAAATAGAGTCTTCCACTTATTTTTCAGCCCATGGCCAATAAGAAGAAGACAAACCAAAAACCGTTTTTTTGTTGTTCTTAAACCTTTAAGTAATCAAATAACACACTTCTGCTCCTCTTCCTACATTATGGACAAATTGTACATCTCCCTAATACCCCCACATTATCTCTTCATTGAAATAATCCACAAAGATCCAAAATTCATGACAAATCACAAGCCAAATCAACCCCTTCATGTTTCCCATGAATGGCCGAACATATAAGTTCAAAACAAACACCCACTTAACCCACCCATTGTCCCCCTTTTGTGTGCCCCCACTAGGGCTGAATACAAAACCACAAAGGCCAAAGATCTTTGACATACCACCAACCAAATCAGCCCTTCATGCCCCCCCATATTTGGCCGAGAATGTGAGTCCAAAAACAGCCATCCACTAGGCCAAAATAAGTACTCACAACAGCCATAGTTGTGAAAAGTGCGCCTGAGGTGCGATGCGCTAGGGTTAGTACATCAGCAGACTTGATGTGCGCGCTGTTCGTGATGCGCGTGCCTTACTGCGCCTCCTCGGATTATGCGCCGTGATGCGATGCAATAAAAGGCGCGCATTAGGAACATATATTAATTTATGTTTTTTTAAAGGTTAGGTTAAGTGTTAATATTTATTCCGCCTCACCCTTTATTATCTTTACGTTGGTTTACGACCCAAAGAAGTTCAAACGACAAGTCTCTTCCTCCTTCAGTCCTTCGACGCTCCTTCCTCGTTTTTTCTCTGATTTGACTCTCTTCCTCTCACCATGGATAACACTAAACTTCACCGTGCACAGTAAGTCAGTAACACACTACCCAGTCGCAAGTCACAACCAGTTACGACTCTCTTCCTTCCCCCTATTACAGTAATACTTTTCTTATTAAAGAACTTGTATTTTCAACACTGGTTTTTTCTTAGATGTACATTGGTTCTCTATTTTTTTCAAACTTTTTATTGATGTACAGTACATATTTTTTCTTCAGATATTTTTTTCTAGCAGATAATGTTTTCACATTTTAATTCTGCTTTTTGAACTTTATGGTTTTTAATTTTGTCTATGCCTCATTGGTACGATGTGTGACTTTCATTCTTGATTGATTTCTAGAACTTCATTATGCTTTTAAAAGTTTTATATATACTATTACTAATGTAGATATACTACATATCTACTAATATCCAATTTGCGCATTGTGCTCGTGATGCGCGCGCATCGCGCATCGAGGCGCTAGAGCCCTTTAGTTCATCGGTGCGCATCACACCTTAAATAACTATGACAACAGCCCTTCATGTCTCCCATTGTCCCATTGTCCCCCTTTGTCTTCTTCACCCTTGGCCGAAACAAGTACTCACAACAAGCCAAGGAGTCTTTACCAAAGTCTCACAAATCATCTTGTGATTTGCCCCCAAAAATGGCCAAATAAACAGCCACACATCCCAAACCAAAAGCTAAACAAAACAGGCCAAAGAACATCTCCTAAAAGTCATCCAAATTTCCACTCTTGTATTTATTCATTGTGGCCAAATTTCACACCACAAACCAAGTCAAAATACAGCCACCCAAATCCCTTGTCCTTGATCTTGAATTCAATTCATTTGGCTGGTAGTGTAATAATATCAAAACATGTGATTGCTTAGGAAGAAGAGAGGAAGCTGCCTTTGTTGTATTTATTTTCATTTGGTTGTAATTTCCCCACAACTTACCTAGTATATAAGGGTGGCCTTTTGGCCATTGTAAGGGGCAAGTTTTGATAAATGAAATTCCTTACTCTTTGGAGTATTTCTTAAAATAGTGTGATGTTATTTTAAACCAAATTCCTAATTCTATATCTTAAGAGTGGTTACCTTAAGTGTGAGTTTTAGGTTCTAGATATTTTGATTAAGTATGTCAAATCTTAATTGAATTCTAGATTCAAACCCCAAGTCAAGATAACAGTGTGTAATACTCCTCCGTCCGGAAATAATCTTCCTGTTTCTCCTTTTTCCCCATCCGGAAATAATCTTCCTGTTTCTCCTTTTACCCACAATCCTTCCAAAGATACCCTTATCATTTAATTTTCATTTACTCCCTCAAACCATCCCACTTCCCCACCCACCTGCACACATTACTCTCTCTCTAACTCCCCACCTCCCACCCAGTTACACTCATTCACTCATCTCTGAATCTTATCTTCTTCCTCTCATCGAAAACCATTCCTCTCTCTCTAGATCTACATCTCTTTCATCCGCATGACCTCTTCATCTACCTCATCAGAGGAATCGCATGAATTATTTTACAAATCTTACGGAATTTGAAGATGGTGGAGGTGAAGATTTTGAGGTGATTGCCGAGGATATTATCTCTGACGACAAGGAGGAGAACGAGGTCATCGTCATCGACAGCGACGATGATGGTGCCGATGTTGCCCCGGTCAGAGAGAAGGAGGTAATCGACCTTACCTCGGATGAAGATGATGTTTTTGATCTTGGTAGCGATGAGGTTGAGTTCCTGGGAGACAGTGATACTCATGATTCCGGTGATACTTCTCTGGTGATCTGTTCACACATGCACCTCCACATAGATAGGGGAGTGACTTTCACCTCCTTTCACTTTACATATTTCTTGGCTTGAGTATCAATTTAATTCCTGCCAGTGTGAACTTTGTTGATGCATTGCTGTGATAATTAAAATTTCTTATCTGCTTTGTATGTTACTGTTATGGGAATGCTGCCTGTATGAATTGTGTTGGATCAGATTTCTATGAAGACTGCAATTTATTTTGCATAGTCTGAGAATAATGAAGACACTGTGATGAACATCTAACCTTAAGGGGATGTTTCTGAGTGTATATTGCTGGCATTGGGTTATGTGAATGTGGTCAAATTCTATGAAGACTGCAATGCCTTTTGCATGAGAAAAAAACCTACTATGATGAGCATTAAACCCTTAAGGGATGTTTCTGAGTGGTTAAATTCTTACATCAACAATGATGAAGTGGGCTTAGTTTTGAGAAATATATGCTGGCTGTTGTATTTCATTGAACATTGGAACATTTGGAGCAGTTAGTGTGTTGTTGCCTTAATGTGAGTACATACATATGGCAGGACATTACATGGTGTAAAACCCACAATTCAAAAATCAAAAGCCAACAAACTACCACTAACAACAGTCAAAAGCCAAAAAACTAAATGTGGTAACCATTTCAAAAACCCCACATTCACTGCCACTGCACTTAAACAAACCTGGAATCAGTTCAATTCTGAAGATAGGTGCTCCTCTCCCTCTTCAGTATTGAACTGAACCATTTCTTCATGTGGACTTTCATTCTGTTGACCCAGCAGTCTACTTGTCTTCTCAATTAAATCTGGATCAATGTTCAAGCAAGTAGGTAGTGTCCCTGGCCATTCTGTCCTTACCCATATGTGGCAATCTATAGTTATTGCCTCCTTCATGCTCCATTACTTTAGTCTACACTTGCTGGTAAGTCAACCATACCTTATTTAGAGTTTTTGGAGTTAGAGCATTGTAGGCTCCCTCCACAGCCTCTAACAATTGTCCCACACTAGTTGGAGCACACTTCTCTTTTAAAGACTGGATGGCTCTGAAAAAACCAAGGTAATTGGGGGGTTGGTTACCAAGACTGATGTGAAAACTATTACTGTTACCTGCAGCAACAAAGTGTGAGTCTAGTCCTTGAATGTGTGGCCTTGCATTATCTTGTTGAATGTGTGACCACTTTTCTTGGATAGCTGGAATCACTTTGTTGATTAGCATGTCTTTTGTGACTTGTTTGGTAACACTGGTGATTGGTTTCACCTCCACAACTCCTTTATCCCTGTTCTTACTCTTTTTTTTGGCTTTCACTAATTCACTGAAATGGAATATGCCAACTTTGCCATCCCATAATACTTCTCCATTATCGGTAATTAGTGGTCTTCCAACGACACACATGAACATGACTTTTGTTATAAACCGCTTCGATTTACATATTCTGTATGGGTCTACTTCATCGGGAAGTAGGTAAAACTTTTGTGAAGTTTTGGACATACAGAACCACTTCTCATCCATGTGCAAGACGTTGTGAAAACTGTTAAACCTAGGTTGAAGGGGAATACTGTGTGGTTCAACTTGATTCAAACAGAACCTCAACCTTGACAGTTTGTTATCATCTATTAGGTAAGGTTTGATAGCATTAGAATGGCTTTTAAGCATACCTTTTTTATCCACTCATGAACACTGGACTTCGGCTTACCAATAGCACCTGCTAAACTCCTTATCGTAGTCTTGTTCCGCAGGGAGTGTCTGCAATTGCTTGTACATCCATCACCACCCTTTTCCTGCCACTGTTTCCTATCATCCTGCTACTCACATTGATGGCAACTCCCCACTCTAGTTGTTTCTTTGCAATGGCCCATATTGTACTCACTGTTTTTCTAGAAACATTATCTGCCCTCTGAGCTGAGTATGAACCGTTTGATTTTTGCTTTGAATGTGTTAGTAGTGCGTCACTGATAAGCTGCCGTGTCGTGTTATCCAATTTCTTCGTATTTATATGAGCATTATTCATTGTGTGTGCAGGGCTCCAGGAAATGTGGACAAGAAAAGAAAAAAGAAGAAAGGAAAATGAAGAAGAGGAAAGGTGAATGAAGGGCATGCCAAAAAGGGAAAGACCTGGGAGCTTTAAATGCTGCTTAATTTCAATTTGAATGTCCTTGTTCTCAATTTTTTGGCGGGTAGCTAAAAAGGAGGAGGGAAATCTGAAATTTTTGTGGAATGATTACTTTGTAAAAGTTGATTTGATGTATTGGAACCCATATCCCCTCCCCCATAATGTAAACAGTGTATCTAATTATTGAATCCTTCCATTCGGCCAACTTTTTCTTTCCTTTAGCAGTTTTTTTAGTAAGGGCAATTTAGCCATTTCACCTCATAAGTCAACCATTCAAAAAAATGAGAAAAAGTCCAAATGGGAAGCTTTTTCCCGGACGGAGGGAGTATCTCTAAACACCAACTTGGTTTTATCCATCCCTGAATCTTCCATTTCATATCCCTCCATTTCTTTTTTTTAATCTTATTTTTTTCTTCCATTAAAAACACCAAAAGAACTCCTTCATCATCTCCATATTTTCGTCCAACCATTCCCAGCATATACACCACCATTTTCTACCCATTTCAAAGCCCAAAACACCAACTTCATAAGACACCCGGTTCACGCCTAACATGCTTGCAATACTCTCATTTTGTAACTTTTTTTATTTAGTTTAGTTTTTATTTTGGGTGTTTGGTGCTTCACCTGTTTTGTATATGTGGTTTCCTTGTTTTATTGATTGATGAATTTGAACACTTATCTTTAAGTCTTAGAGAAGTTTCTACACTTGTATTTAGAACATTCTTATTTTCAATAAAAGAACAAGTTTTAAGCCACTATTTGCAGTCATATTTACCTTCAATAAGATAACAAGTCATAACCAAACACAAATTTGTCACCTAGAATTATGTGCAACAACATGATAAATTGATAAGTGCGTAAAGAAACTCTAGGAAAAACCTTAGTTTAAAAGGCATGAGACGCAACAAGAAGCAAAGGCCCCTTCGCACGGGGAGTGCACCTCAAGCATGCAAGGCTCCATTTTGGGCAAATTGATGTAAAAGTTAATTATCACTCTTGTTTTGTAGTAAAAAAACATTATTACTAAGGGGATGTATTCAATTTATATTTTATAATTTTTTGATAGATTGTTTAGAATTTATGGATTATGAGAAATTAATGGATTGTTTAAATTCAATGCAGACTTGAGTAGATTTGAATGCATTTTATCAATAGGATTTTGATAGGCTTTGAACATTAACACTATGTTTGGTTCAAGGAATTTGAAAAGGAAAAGAAAAGAAAATGAAGTGGAAAACCATTTTTCTTGTTTGGTTAGAGGGGAAAAGAAAGGAAAAGTGGAAGGAAAAGAAAATGAGGAGGCAAAATGTACCAAGTGGAGGGAAAACCAAATTCCTTCCATTTTGATGAGGAAAATGAGAGAAAACCATTTTCTTTTCTTTTCTTTCCAAAATCCTTGAACCAAACATAGTGTAACAAGAAAAAACAAAACAAAAAACCAAATCCAGGTAAAAAGAAAGCCAGGTTAGCTATGTCCTTGAAAAAGATTGAATTAGAGTTTTGCATTAAGCAAATTTCATTTAAAATGTAAATAGTTTGATTTGAACTAAAAGAGTTGAAACATTGATGCACCTCTACATCATGAGCATCAAAAAATAACTCCCATCCGTCCAATATTGCATGTTCCTGGGTTGCGCTGCTGCGGAAGCACCACCCACAGTTGAGGTGTTTGTTGGTAGTGATGCACTCTCCGTTAAATCTTTGGTTGAGGGTATGGATTTGTTTATAGCTTTTACATTAGAACTTTCACTTCAAAACCCAACAAAATCCATGTATAATAAAAATATTGTAAAATCCATGGAGTGTTTAATATCATTGGATTTGAATAAACAATTAAAAATCTAAATTGAATACGTTCATATTTTAATGACTTTTTAAAATCCAAATTGAATACATTTAGATTTTAAATGACTTATTAAAATCTAAATTAAATACCCACTGACTTTTGAAATACAAAAAAATCCTATAAAGTCTAGGTTTAATATAGCCCCCTAATATTATAGATGATTAATATACCACATATAGGTGGGTATGGGTTGTGTCGAGACAACCCACGTACTAAGCCCACATGCCTCGTGACACACTTGTCGTGCCTACAATGTGAAAATAGAAAGGCATGTGCAAAGTTTCAAAAAAAGAAACTTGAGCATATGTGCACATTTTTCCTCTAAAATATGTGCTAACCTAAGTGCATATTTTTCCTCAGAAATACTCCCTCCGTCCAATTTGAAACTTCTCGTTTTGACTTGGCACGGTTTTTAATATAATGTTAAAAATCCTTTGACTTTACTAAAATACCCTTCATAAAATTACTCCATTCAACCACTCTTCTACACAAATCTGATACAGTAGACATCACCATACCTTTGACTCTAGATTTGAAACTGCCCTTCTACTCATGGACACCGCCACCTCTTCTTCTCCAAATCTGAAGTCCAGCCCTTCTACTCGGGTAACACTGCCACCCCTTCACTCTAGATTGAAAGCCGACCCTTCTCCTTTTAAATCTAAATCTTTCCCTTCTACTCTACTCAGTCAATGTCACCACCCTTTTTCCTCTAGATTCGAAGTCGCCCTTTTTCCTCCACATCGGATCCCATCCATTCCCCTACATACCTGTCGCCACCTAGACAGTGGTGCTCTTCCACCGGAAGATCTGATGAAGAAAGAGAAACAGGGTTTGGGAGGTCTGACTAAGAAAGTGGGGGCCCTGACCAAGAACAAGAAATTTGGGAGGAAGAAGAAGGGGGAGTGGGGTTGACGGAAAAAGAAAGAACAAAGTAATGAAGAAGATGGGAGAGAGAGGGGGGCGGTGAAAAAGAAAAGAAGAAATTGGGGAAGAAGAATAGGAAGGGTGTGGGGAAGGGTTGAGGAAAAAAGAAGAAATTGGGTGGGTGTAGATAAGAGAGGACGAAAGGAAGAGAGTAAAGGGAAAATTAGTCTTTTTGATTTAATTTATTTACCAAATAAGGAAATGGGAAGAAAAAAGTCGGACGACCCATAAAAGAAAGTGAGAAGAAATATATGAGACGGAGGGAGTATGTGATAATCCTCTCTTACACTAAGATGTGTTAATCCTCTCTTACCCTAATATCCCATGCTTTGACCTTTCCTCTAAATTATACTCCGTAATAATTATATAAAAAAGAAATTAAAAAAACCTTATAACATGAGCCTCATCCCCATAAGACGCATGAGGCGCAATGCACACTTCGCAATTCATGCACCGCCTATGCCCGCATCCCTTTCAGACGCAATCATATGTGCCTCACGCCTGAGGCAAGCTTTTTAAAACTAAGTGATAGAGGGCATATAAGTTAAAAATTTTATTATGTCTCAATGGCCTTATTGTTATTTACCCTTTAAAGATTTAATCTAGGTAATAGTCATTTCTAACAAAAAAGAAAAGTGATATATTATCAATTTCTAACTTATTAGATCCATATCAATGATTGCTGCTAAATAGAGCCATAGCCCATAGTAGTTAATTTGTAATATAAGTGAGATAACAACATAAATAGTTTGATATGTCATCCCAACAAAATGATTAATTTTAGTAACTATCATATCAAAATAACAAACACAAATTATAGCAGTAAATAAACATACCTAAATAGCTATTTGACCATGAATATGGCAGCATGATTCCAATGGAGAGGATTTGCAAGAGACCAAAGTGAGAAGCACCTGATCTGATGAGTGTTGGACTCTGAATTGGACGGAAAGAACAACAGTGTGGTCTTTAGTAACTCTCTCATCAAAATTGGTAAGTTTATAAGAGTAAGTAGTGAAGCACAGCAGGTCATCGCCGAGATGGTGCAAAGAATCAAACACATGTTTTGAGTAGTCATCGAAATCTGAGGATAAGACAACATTCAACCACCGTTTCCTGCTTAAATCATAAGCCTCGACCAATTGTTTGGATTTGCGGGCATAAATATAGAGAATCCCATCAACAAAAACAATTGGCCCGGCCCAAATTCCATCAAATTTATCAACAAGGCAATCCCAACTAGCATCAGCAGGATAGTATGCATAAATTGAACAACCAGGGGTAGAGAGGAGGAAGTGAACGAGGATACGACCGCGCAAGTGATCAACTACAAGCGGAGGCGATACATCATAACTTGATACCCTTCCATAAAAAGGAGGTGGTTTTGGCAAGTGTTCCCACATATTAAGCTTAGGATCAAAAACCTCACCGAAACAAGACCATTCAGAACCTCTAAACACATATAGCTTACCACAAAAGGCGACACATTTTGGAGTATACTCATCCTCCTTGAAAAGAGGCCCTTTTTGCCAACCCATTTCAGGGTTAGTCAAATCAAAATAAGATAGGCCCTCGTGAACTTCAACTATCTCGTTTTCGAAGCTGTAAAGCTCAGAGTATTCATCTCTGCATAAATTTCTATATTGGGGCGTGCCAATGGTGTAAATTATTGACCCTACCAATAGATTGCTACCTACTCCACCATTCCATATGAGGGTATAGGGAGTTTTTACGAACTCGCCAGTATCTAGATCCAAAATCTGGAATTCACACTTCGCACCGTGCACCACCCGTAATACAACCTTCCTCTTAACCTTTGCGGAACCACCTTTGCAACACTTTTTCAGATATGAATCTCCAAATCTTTCTGCCATGATCGTAAATCCAATTTTTTTATCAGACAAATCCAATTTTCTGTGGTAAAAGAGACGAGGGAACAAGATTGAGAGCCAGTTCCTAGGATTTTATACGATCCCCAGAGGCCGGCCACCTACTTGGCAAAAGTCTGCCTTTTTTTCAATTTAATTCTTAATAAATACGGAGTACGGAGTAATACTCTTCCCCCAATTTGATTACATTTTTTTCTTTTTTTATATACGGAATAACTTTTATTTGTTTGCACAATTTCATTAAGTATTTGATAAAATAAAATATTCATGTCATCTATTATTTTGTAAAACTTTTAACGTAATTTTTTAATATGTAATTTTTATTTTTTATCGATATACTGATTTATAAATAAAATGATTAAAAAGATGAAATATTTCTCCTTCTAAACCCCAATTTGTAATCAAATTGGGATGGAGATTGGAGAGAGTAATTATTAATAGAAAAGTGCATCATTTACTCTCGAATTCTTTGAAAATTTCACGGTTTACACCCGAACATTAAAAAGTACACCAAATACCCATGAATTCTAAAGAAATTGCACGATTTACCCCTAAACAATAAAAATTGCACCAAATATTTCTAAACTCTTCGAAAATTATATTGTTTACTCCTGAACATTTAAATAAATACGACAATTTTGGAGAAAGGTACTTTGGAAAATTCACAATGGTCAGATGAATTATATTTGCAATTGTTGTGCGTGGAAACAACGCACTTAGGAATTGTTTAGGATGAACGATGCAACAGTTTATTTTGTTCAAGGGTATTTGGTGCATTTTTTAGTATGCAGGGATAAATCGTGCAATTTTCGAGGAGTTCGAGAGTAAACGGTGCAATTTTTATAGTTCAAGGGTAAAACATGCCATTTCTAAATAGTACGGGGTAAACAATGCACTTTACTCTAATTATTAATATGGTTCTTTATAATTGAGATGTATTTCATAAAAGGTGTTCTATCAAAAAGTTTTCTATAAAATAATGGTTAAACAAATTGTATTTTTGCATTTTCCATCATTTAAAATATGAGTAAGTCTTCAAAATAATCCTTTCAAATTAAGTGAGTGGTCGCAGGAGGAACGAACCCACCCCAAGTAGGCTCATGAACTTCATTTCAAGAAAATATTTACTTAGAAATTATCAATTTGAAAAAATATTTAATTTTAAATAAGCAATTTGAGAATAGACTTTAAGTCTAAATGATAGAAAATATCAAAATAACTTCTATTTAACTCACATCTAATAGATATTTTTGGAAGAAGACTATTAAGGGAATGAATCTCAATTATAAGAGACCATATTGGTAATTATTGCTTGTTGAGGACTAATAATGGAAAAATAATTTATTACAAAGAATCATTTTGGAAATTCACTATAAAAAACATTTAAATTTAAAATTTAGAAAAAACAGTTTGTAAAATTTACGCATGGTTCTAACTCTAGCATTTTCATTTTTTCTTTGCTCTCCTTGTTCTTTTTCTTTCTCTAGCTTTTTTCCTTTCTCTTATTTTTTCATTGCTTCTTTCCTTTGTTTTTATTTTTAGTTTTCAATTATTGTTTTTTAATTCCGATTAATTTAAAAAATAGTTTTTCAATATTTTTTAATTTGTATTTGTAGTTTTCAAGTTTGTACTATTTAGTTTTATTTTATGTTTAAAATTTAATTAATTTCAATTAAATTAAGTGTTAAAAAATAAATTTGAAATAAAGAAAAAAACTGACCTGAAGTTAAGGCCCTCATGGGTGCCCTACACCTTTCCCCTCGTCAATTCAGTTTTACATCACCTTCAATTTTCTCTTTTTATTTCCTTCTACGTCTAGGGAAATGTCTTCCTCTTTCCCCTTTAATTTTAATACTCCATTCATCCTAAAATGTTCTTCTTATTTTTGTTTATGAGATTTGACTGAATTTATTTTCAATTCTGTTTACTTGGTTATAGGTGTAAAATTATAAAAATAAAATTTATATAGTTGAAAACTGCATAAAAAATCTTCAAAATAAGATATAACAAGCCAATATCATTTTATCAAACTAGTTTTCTACACCATGCTTCACACAAGCTCGGGATGTGTTCACGTGTCTATTAATTAAGATTATCATCGTTAGATTTTTTTGGTAAAACTATGTACTCCGTAATACTTTGATTAAAAATTAAATACAATGTCAAATAATTAACTATCATAAAAGTTTGATATATGAAAACAATATTTTAAATAGACATAATTTTTATAAATTTACACACTTTATGGTCAAAGTATGGAGCCACTTGACCAAAAATATCAAATTGTTATTAAATGATATACTAATGGCATGAAGATTGATTTAACTAATGAAAAAATAAAATAGAATGTCAAATAAATTAAGGTAATGATAAATCACTGTCAAATAAAATAGAATGTCAAATGTATTATTTTCATGAACTTATACAACCCAACCAGCACCTCTAGATACAATGTCTTTTAAGGTTTCAAGTTTCAATAGGATCAAATATAGTGACTTCTTAAATTTTGAAGGCCCTTAGGGTCTTAAGTATTGTCAATTCCCCAAATAGACAAGTCTACTAAGGAAAAGGGAATGAAAAAAAAATCCATGATGTATATTAGGTTACTATTTGGCATGTATATTGATTAAATTTAATTGTGTAGCTTAGATTTATTTTGATATGAATGTAAACTTATCAAACATACAATTTTTTTCTTAAAAGGAAGTGATAATATAATTTTCAGACATTGAAAAATATAATGGAAATGTAGTATATGGCCTATATGCCATGTGTTATACTTTAAGAAAAACATATTAATTTAATTTAATTTATTGAAATGATATATAGTAAATTAAATAATGTTACAGATAAAATATTTTGAAATAAAATAAGTATACAGTTAGTAAATATATAGTTAATAAAATATAGTTATTTGGTAAAACAACAGTATAAAATAAATGGTGGATTGCTGATGACTGGTTGTTGACTGGTGTTGATATTTTATTTTTAATTAATTTTTTAGTTTTCAGAATTTTAAAAAAGGTTAGTTTTGGTGTTCAAAGTGGGAGCTTTGCTTTATTTTCGGGTGAATTTTGCATTATCCATTGGTGAGCTTTGTAGTGTAGTGTGATGAACTTGGCGTCATCTCACCGAAACATGTCATCTCACCGTAAGGTGTCATCTCACTAGAGTCAATCATGTGATATTGCCCTCCAATGTCACTTGAATCTTGGGGTTGTAAATATTATATGAACTATTAAAAATTTATATTGTTTTTTCTACAAAAAATTATATTTTTTATTGTTTTACTTTTTACTTTATCTGATAACAAACAAACATATTAATCTTTCATTGTATAATCAGTTTTTATTTATACAATATAAATAACTCGATTGTTTAAAAAATAATTTTTGTGGGGGGGTTTACCGGGGGTTAGGGGGATAGGAACCGTCAATTTTATGAACGGGGCACCGGAGCGCCCCCGAGTCTTCTTATGACATCAAGGTTCAATGTCACTTGAACACACACACACACACACACCGATATTATATAAGGGGCTATCTTGTTAACAGTCTTTTTGTCGTCATGTTTTGATTTACTATTAGAGCAAGGGTAACGACAAGACAGAAAATGGAATGTCACAAGTTGACGTAGAACATTTCAACCAATAAAAAATACTCCAGTTATCGTGTGGCAAGAGAATGGAGTGCTTACTTTTTCATGGTATATTTAATAAAATAAATTATTCTTGTCATTGCTTATTTTGTAAAAAAAATTTGTTACCTCGAGTATAATTTTTAAACACGGTGCTTTTAAACACGGTGCTATTAATAATTTTTTTCTTACTAATTTGTATATATAAAATTAATTTAAAAAAGATAATATCACATTATTCAAAAGAGAACAAATACTTAGGGATTAAGTTATGAATGAAAAAAAATGAAAAATACTATGGGATTAAGTTTTGATGCATAGATCACATATACATGATTAAAGAGAGATTGGAAATTATTCACACCTACCTTACCGGATGTAAAAAAAAAACATTCCATACAATGCAAACACTCCACAAGGTTTCATTGAGAACAGGAATGCCACTTCAAAAGAAACCATCATAGCTAAGGGGGTGTTTGTTTTTTGGCCAGAAGAACTTCTGGCCTCTTTTGTCTGCGTCGCGCAGACGCGCGCAGATGCTGAACTCTGCAGATTGTTTGTTTTTGGAAGACATTTTACTCAAAAAGGTCTTCCTGGCATCTTCTTGGAAAAGACATTAACCTATGTCTTCTAACATCTTCTCCATTTTTTTCTTCTACTTCTCTTCACCACCACCACCGTCCACCACCATCACCACCGTCCACCATCCCCTCCACCGTCGTCCACCACCACCGCCACCGTCCACCACTACCACCGTCCACCACCGTCCACCATCACCGTCACCGTCCATCACC